TATGTGCAAAATATATTAAAATTTATTTTTTTAATTTTTAACTTTTTTATAACAAATGGTATTTTTGTCCTTAAATATTTTTTAATTTATTTTCTTACCCTATTTCAACATACCAAACATAATGATCGAATAGGAATCCTCATTCTATCATGTGTGCAACAAAATTACTTTTAGGAATCTTGATTCCATTCTATTCATATTCTCACTCTCATTCTCATTCCATCAAAAATCATTATATCGTATGATACACCACTTAAGTATTTTCTCTCAATAGAAGATTTTATTTCCTAACTTGAGCACTTTGATAAGTGAGCTAATAAATAAAAAAAATTAGGATTGATAATGAATAAATGATAGTAATAAATAAATAAAATAAATAAATAATATATATATGTATATTTTAGCGGGTGGGTCGGGTGGCGGCGGTTTCAAAAGGGCATAAAATCTTTAGCAGTTCATGATCAAAGGACAATCAGGGGTTCAACTAGTGTCTTCAGTCGCATAAACAACATGTGCAAACTACGAGGTATATATTCTGCAGCTAAAAACAAATTTCGCTACCAGTCTTGAGCAAAAATCTGGGAATAACACATTTCCCTACCACATTTTCAATCAAAATCTAGAGCCAAGCATCATATGAGAAATTAAAAGGTTAAACAAAAGGGAAAAAGACAAGGACATAACTTACCAACAAATATCGAAGTTTAATCTCATTAGCAATTATCTTGACAAACAATGAGCATAAAAGCACCAACACAAAATCTGTTATTTCTCAACAATTGCAGGACCTAAGCTTCAAAATGAAGCTTAATTCAGGGCATAATAACACTGCAAATAATATGCAAAGCAGCAGCTTTTCCTGTTAGCTAGATAAGCAGTGCCTAAAAAACTAAAAACTGCTTAACTAAATAAATTTGTACAAAATTCCCACCCATGTTATAGGCAGCCATGTTTTGAACGTGGGGCATTGCCATCTAGACCCTCCAGAAGCATTTGCTGAAAAAAAGAACATAATACTATGGAGAGACATTGCTTGCTCTATGACAGGGACTTTTTTCATGCAGCCTCTGATTCATTATTTTGCAATGGGGGCAGTGAAAACATGCTTACTGTGGAACTTCCACTTCGAATCTTATTTAAAACTTCCAATGGCAGTCAAGTGCGCTTCATGTACATACTCTCAATGTTTTTATTTCTGCAAGTTCTTCAGGAACCTTTTGGAGCTTGGCCTCATCTTTGGAATCAATGTCGGCATCAACCACTTGTTTTTTCTTCAGCTGCTTGATATGTGGCCAATTTCTCATTCAAGGAGAAAAATTTTTCAAGCATCATTTCACACTCCTTAACAAGCTTGTTAAGCACATCAGTTTTAAAGAATGGTTGTTGCAAAACCTTTTGGATGAAAGGGAGGCGAATAAGAGCACCAGTTCGCTTATCATATTTCTTTAGTATCTTCACCACTCCTGCATAGAGAAAAGTTGTGTAAAAAAGAATTAGCCTGAAGATTTCAGACAAGAAGAATGATGATCTCTTGAAAATATTTTAGAATCAACTTAGGCTACCTACAAAATGCATTTTTCCCCTTTTCTTCTCCTTGATTTAGATTTATTTTATTTATTAAAATACTCTCCTTCCATTTTAAACTAATCTATAATGCATGCATACATTCAGTTCTTAACACTAGAAAGAAAAAGATCCACATCATAGTGGTTATTTGACTAAAATGCTCCCAGGGCCGCCACCACTTTCTAAATGGGAATATCTAAATGAAAATTTTCTCTATACATATTGATGGAAAATCTACATATATTTGCTAGATCAAACATGTCAACTTAATTCATCTAAACCGTCTGTCCTACATTAAGCAAGATCTTAATCTTCTCATCCTAAACCCCAACTCATAATATGCATATTGTCATTCTAAGAGCAACTCTCAATGATCATCCTACCACACAGGGTTTGATGTACTACAAGTCTGCAAAAGTCCAACTCTCATGTAATCATGTAAAGGAAGGTCACATCTGTCATTAAGATATATCCTCCCCCATACTGCCATTTTGAGGCGACCCTTATTTAGAAATATCTTATAACCACTAAAGTACAAATTGTTGCACAAGTGATTGGAAGGGCCTCCCTTCACAGAATATACATTTCAGATTAAATCACCAAAAACATTTATTAATTTCTGTCCTCTAGATCATTTCATGACAAATTATGCATGAGTAGACAACAATTAACAACAATAATAAGATAAAAGGTCAAACTACCTGTGTAGTTCAGGGCACTGTAATTCAAAACAAAACCATCTCTCCATGAAAATCTACAATCTCCCTACCTACAGTCATCAACTCTTCATTTGAATCCTAGCCTCTGCTACCCTGTCTTGCAGCACCTGTACTCCAAGCAGAAGTGGAGAAGAAAAAAAAGTTTCAATGCATCGTTGTGAATATTTTTTACCTCCTCTCCAGAAGGTGCCTACGAAGAAACAATAATATAAATATGGAACATACAGAAACAACTAGGAAAAATACCACTTATTTACACTTGCCAAAATTCAAATATATCAAAAGCAGCTAAACCCTTAAACAAGCAACCCCTGCTTCCCACAGGAAAGCGTGCATAATATGCAAGTTCATCAATTAATAGGCAGTTATATTGTTGAGACTATCGCTTAACTGTTGTCAGAGCCAGGAGGTTGCGGATTCAATCCCTAAGTCCAGCAGGGGCATGTTGGTGGTAGGTGTTCAACCAGATCGAACTGAACTTTGCCTTGTGATTAGGTTCAGATATAAGTGTTGTGCCCTAACTAATAGCTTAAGCTTTTGGTCTAGTGGTAAGCTATAAATCTCAATATATATGTCTATGTTGAGGACCAAAAAATAATGAAGTTTGGGTGAGCTCATTTGTTGATGACTTCAGATATTTGAGAGTAATCAGCATAAAGTTTCCATTTTTCTTTCTAAAACATGTGTTACTACAAACATGTAGCATCTCCTATCTTTAATCTTATTCCAACGCCAAACCAGAAGTGGAGATGTTTCTCTGAATTGCTCATATATTGATGATAAAATTGAAATGTATTAGAAATACTTGATCAATTGAATAAATCGGAACATGCCCCAGAAACGTCTGCATTTAGTAGTAATAAGCATAATATGCAGATATCAAAATCTCTCTTCTTCTCTTTTTGGCTCTAAATCCAAAATACAAACCGAAAAAAGATAACAAAGTCCCCACCTATGTTCAATACAATGAATTCATCCATCTATTTAAGCCAAGATCAAGAAGATCCAGAAATACCTTTGTCTGATGATATACTCTTCCTCTTTATCGACAAAGAAAGCGTGAACTTGTCAATCTCCTCCTCCAAAAGCCTCACGAAATCGTTCACCTCTTTGTCACCGCTCCATCCTTCCCCTCTGCCGCCGCCACCGCGCAACCGTGCCGCCGGCCTCCGCACAGCCATCATCGTCGGGCAATCTTGGCCGTTTTAAGGGGCCTAACGCCACTACTAGTTGTTGCCTCGCATTCCTTAGGGTAGATCAGCTTCAACTGCTTCTTCAGATCTTGTAGGACAAGAACTTGTCCCGCCAATCGGGCACCGTTTGCTCGATTACGCTACTGAGGTTCTTCCAGAACTTCATGGTCCCGGTATCACCGAATCAAAACTCTCTTCTCTGCTCTCTGCACAAAGATAATCAATCACACAGAGGATGCACGTACAAAGATTCTTAAGTATGGAAGATGAACAGAGATACAACAGAGACCAAGAGGGAAGTGCAGTAAGAAAGAAAAAGGAAAGAGAGGATGTTTAATGACCGCCAGGCAGGGGGAACGAAACCGCAGAATATTCGAGCCTTCGAGGAACCGAACAAAGAATATCCTTCCGTTTCTTTCAATGGGCATATCTCTTGTTATCTTCTCTTTGGTTTGACCGTTAAAATTTCCAGCAGTTTTTTCTCAAAACGCTCCACGTAGGGCTCTATCCTTCGCCGTTGCCTTTTTTCTTTTTTAAATTAAAAAGTTATAATTATATTTTTATTTCAAAAGAAATACTAACTATTATTATTATTATTATTCAAATATCATTATTTTACCCATTTATATCTTGACAATAAAAATTATAAAATTTTGTAAACTAAATATCAGTTGCAATATATAAATTCAATGACAAAGATATCCAAGATGTGAAAAGCAAAGAATATAATTGAAATTTTTACATTTTTTTTGTAGGAGAGAAATTTTTGTTGAGAAATTTTTTTTTAGATTTTTAATTTATAGATTAAAATAGTCTAATTTTATTTTAATTAAACTAAATCATAAATCAAATTATTTTTTTGCAAAAATAAATCTACTCAAATTTAATAAAATCCAAACTAAATTTCAAATGTTAGTTTAATTTGATATGTTGATTTGATTTTGCACACCCCTCTTTAGCCCAACCTCAAGTAACCTAAGGTTTCCTTTGATAACTTGAATGATTAGAGGGAATAAAAAGGAAAATAAATGATTGGATGTGATATAATAAAACTTGATATATTTAATGCTAAAAACAAAGTAGAAAGAAAGGTAATTAGAATGGAGGATAGAAAAATTAGTTGGATAAAAGGGATAAGATGGGATCCACTATTTTCTTACTCATTTTTTTATTATTTCTTTACTCTTACCTCTTTTGTCTCTAGTGAGTTTTTACTCATAAATCTCCTTTTTATCTTTTCTAAGGGCTCTTTATCTCTCACAAGGCAACACCTGAAAAAAGTCAAAATCAGAATAAATAATCTTGTCTTGATTATTAAGTAAGATTGGACAGTAGAGATTAATTTTTCAACCTTAACTCACCGGAGTTATTAAACAAGGTTTAGTTTTGTCATTTGCAAATGTCAAAAAAACTCATTCTTCAACCTCCATGGATTTTGGATATTAATTTCAATGATAAAAATTAGAAGTGTTATTAAAAAAGTTTGTCTTTTAATTAAAAGAAGTGGCTCGCCAAGATTTTTAAAATAAATCTTAGGCAAAACGTTAGAAGAGATTAGAGTATTATAAACGATTAGTCTATGTAGATCTTAATTATTAAAATATTGTGTCGTTATTTTATAATACAATAAAAAAAAATTTATTAATGTTCCTTTGGAACAGGGAGCTATACATAGCCCCATCATGATCATCTCAAATGAATTGATGTATATATAAGAGTTATAAATGTTCATGATTTTTCTTTTCGAGAAAAGAGAAGTTAGGATGGAAGACTAAGTTTCTTTTAAATATCATGTCATTTTATTTTATTATTTCATTTAATATATTAGTGTCACGCCTCAAGGCGGTTTGAACAGAGTGTGTTAGGCAGTTTGAGTAGGGATGGGGTTTGAAAATAGAGGCAAATGGAGACATAGTTCGAAAAAAGAAGGCTTGAACTAGGATGGTGGATTGGAGGGGTCGTTCAAATCATGAAGCTAGACTGTGGGAAAGGTCAACTCTACTAGATGGGACGCATTAAAAGCAGCAACATGGCAATCAGTTGAGAGATAGTTGACGTGGTTTTGAAAGCAATCCTGTCAACTGTCAACGGTTAATAATGTTGTAAGAAAGGATAAGGACAAAGTATTGAAAACTTACAGAAAAACATTAAACGTCCCTAACAAATTTCTCTCCTTCTATAGTGGTCTTCATCGTCTTTAGTGGCAACGCATCATCCTTGGATAACTGTAATCATAATATATCCTTGATAACCTATAATCATATATAACCGAAAATGCATTTGTTTGTACAAGTGTCTAATGAACCCTTGAATTGTAATCCAAAAAATTCTAGTCCAGAGACATTCTGTTAAAATTTTACCCCCCTTTGTTGTCTGGTTATGCTTTCTATTTCCATACTATGCTATGTTATTTTCACGAGGAGGCATGAATAAGCGGGGAAGGATGAAAAGTGTTTGTGGGAAGGTTAGCTTAGGGATTCATACGAGAAGTGAATTTCAAGTTACCGTACTATTTTGGATTTGAGTGGTCGGCTTGAGTGCATAAAAGGATCAGCCATGACATCAACATATTACAATGGTCAAAATTTAATACTATAAAAATTAGTCTTTACTCTCGGCAAGTGAAAGTGGGGAATGAGTCGAGATAACAAGAGTAAGGGACTAATTTGAATAAATTCGACCATCTTGGGATTATTTAAGGGTTGGTCTAAGTTTTTTTTGGGGGAGCTACTTCACCTTGTAAGAAACAATATCAATGCAAAAAAATGTAAATGCTTATCATAACCTAAAAAAATGGATCTGTGACAAGTGCAAGAATTAAAATAAATTTCAATCCTGGAAACCTAACATATTATTCAACATATAATGACCAAAACTCATATAAAATTGTAAATAAATCAAATCAAAAATCTCAACCAAAACTATTAATATATTTACAAGAACCTGTCTGCAGTCAAATAGAGCTATCTGTGAAAATCTAGAAATACAAATCTAACAGAATTGAAGTAACTAACTTTTCCAACTAAGAATGGAAATAGTAGAAATAATAAGACTTCTTCTAAGCAGTAGAATCCAACCAAGTACCAAGCTTTTAATCTGAAAAAAAAAAGGGGTGAGTCAATAGATCTAGTGAAAAATAACATGCATTTACAAGAATAAGGGACATTGTATAACATGTAAATTAGAAAAACTTAACAAATTATTTATAGATATCGGAATCTTTTCAATGTAACAAATCATTTAAGATATTAAAATCTTTTCAGTGTAACAAATCATTTACAGATATCAAAATCTTTTCAATATAACAAATCATTTACAAATATCAGAAATTTAGGGAGCTTGTAATCTGGAACGAAAGATATATCAGAAATCAGAATGGTGACTCATAGTTTGCTGGATAATGGAACGGCAACACAATATTACCAGAAATCAGGATGATGACACTTCATTTATTAGATATCAGAAATCAGAAAATGGCATCCTCATATGCCCATATACACATATACATATATAAGTCTACCATATTGGCCTAACACAAGAGTCTAACACATCCCCCTGCTAGATGGAGATCTTGTATTAGAGTGTACTAAGTCTAATATCTATGTTGTTAGCTGCAGTGTTCTAAAATCCAAAACTCCTTTAAAAATGGTTTTTCAGAAATAAACAGAAACCATTTAACAGAATTTTCCAAAATCAAATAGAAACAGTTTAACAAAATTTTCTATATACAAAGTCAAATACAATTAATAGATATTCCTTTCCAAACAACTTTAGAAATTTCATACATGTCCCTTATTCACTTTCAAAATAGAATTAATCAAATTTTCAGAAAATCAAATACAACATATAAAAATCAGAGTTATAACAATTATGGAAAATTGTAAATACTCATAAATGCACATTATTATTCACAAAATCGATATTGATCGAGTGATCAATCTCTTGTGATGTAAGGTCGCATCAAGAATCATATAGAGATTCTAAAATAAGAAATATCTCATTTTAGGTCACTATCACATAAATAAATCCAAAATGAGATATTGGACTACCCATATTGGGGTACTAAAACCCGAATCGACCAAATAAGACATGAACTGAACCTTAAAGTCTTGAAATGAACTTATTAAGCATAAAATCAATTTATTTAACTCATAATTTAATTATTAAAGTACTAAACCAGCTTGAACTGACCATTAGGGTGTTGAACCAACCATTATTTAGTCTTTAGTATATTAAACTAGCTTGAACTGACCTCTAATGTGGTGAAACAGCCTTGAACCGGCCTTTAGTACACTGAACCAAACTTTTAACACTGAACTGGCCATAATATGCATTGAACCGGGTGCACATACAGTGAACCGGGTGCCTAACCCACTAAACCAGTCCCAATATGATGAATATGATAAACAACCCACTGAAATGGCTGCTAATATGCTAAACTTGGCTTATATCATATTGAATCGGAATGTATTACTATTTGGTGACCTATCCAAGCAATGAACTAGTCTTTTATTTGCCTAAACCTGCAATGCCTCTAATTTGTTTTCATTTATTTAAATCATGAGAAAAGAGATGAGTAGTGAGGCTAAGGGCGTATTTGAGCAATTCAAACGATTTGGGGCAAACTAGAGAATTGAGAAAGGCCTGCACAAATAAATTAAAAAGGTTAGGGGGTCCCCTCACAAAATTAGGAAAAGTGAGGGGCCAGTCTTGAAACTTTGGGGATTAAATTGAAAGAAAACACAAAGGGAGGACCAGAACCAAAAGACATTTGAGTTTGGGGACTAATTTGGAAATGACTCAAGACTGAATTGTGAGAAACTAATACTATAGGGACTGGAATGTGACAGACCCAAAAGCTTCGGTTAGTTGGCGACAGAAGTCTTCATACGCAGAAATTCTAGCCAATCTGAGTAAGACAACTCTCCAACTCCAACTATAAAGGTGGAACTTGTGGTGTAGAATTAAGGGGACTGATCAATTTGAGA